AACTCTGACCTCCGAAAGCTTGCTGTCAATCTCATCCCCTTCCCTCGTCTCCACTTCTTCATGGTGGGTTTTGCTCCTTTGACCTCACGCGGTTCACAGCAGTACCGAGCTCTCACTGTGCCTGAGCTCACACAGCAAATGTGGGATGCGAAGAACATGATGTGTGCAGCTGACCCTCGCCATGGTCGGTATTTGACTGCCTCAGCCATGTTCAGGGGTAAAATGAGCACAAAGGAAGTTGATGAGCAGATGATCAATGTCCAGAACAAGAACTCTTCTTACTTTGTGGAATGGATTCCCAACAATGTCAAGTCTACTGTATGTGACATCCCTCCCACCGGCTTGAAAATGGCATCCACCTTCATTGGAAACTCAACCTCAATTCAGGAGATGTTCCGCCGTGTGAGCGAGCAGTTCACAGCTATGTTCAGGAGGAAGGCTTTCTTGCATTGGTACACTGGTGAAGGCATGGACGAGATGGAGTTCACAGAAGCTGAAAGCAACATGAATGATCTGGTTTCGGAGTATCAGCAGTACCAGGATGCCACAGCCGAGGAGGATGAGTACTATGAGGACGAAGAGGAGGAAGCTCAGGAGGAGATGTAACGTGGTTTGAAATGCTGCAACTCCCAGTTGCTGGAGTATGACAAAGTGATAGGCTGTTCGTTGCAGTTGTAGGTTTTAATATCGTTAAAAACCAAACTGGTTGTCTCAGTTTAATTTCTTTTTGTTACATGTACTTGAGTAAGCTGAGATTTTCTATGTGTTGATATTACCCTTTTAAAGTAGAAGCGTAATTTCTTGTATGAATCTAAGATAAAATTTAGATTGCTGTCGATAAATATTCTTATTCCGTCTAGATTGAGATTTTCTATATGGAGTCAATGCCATCTTTCGAAAATACTATGTCTAGATCACTGGGGAGGCTTTGCTGAACTATGTTGTATACAAACAACTCTATCTCGTCACGTGAGGAGAGCAAAAGATTCTGCATTTCTTGTTCATGTGATACGTATGATTTACGGGCTCAAGACCTAAATCGAGGATTAAGTATGCCATTGTTTATAAATCAAACCTTTAATTTGGATCTCATTTGGAACAAATTGTCAATGTGTGTGCTACCTTACAAATTAAATGAACCGTTGATTTATCTGATACGTTGGATAACTAAACAATATTTGAATCATTTTTTGTGGAGTACCTACAAATGAAGATGAAAAAATTGAACGGCTCCTATTTTGAAGGTTACAGGGTAAAAATACGTCATTCGTAAATGGTGGAGTGTGTGCATTCCCCTCATGGAGGGATGCAAGTACTAACGGCGATGCTAAATGTAGAGGGTCGGCATTCAAAGAGAAAGATACCAGCCTTCGAAAGAGCCTTCAAAAGTGCAATCCCGGTGCTCCAACATTGGACAAAATATGTAACAAAACTTACTAAATTTTGACAATTGACTGCAACACTTAACTACAACTAGTACAAGTAAAGGGCAACCTGAAAATACTAGGTAAGAAAACAAGATTGATTTACAACACAACAAACAACATCCTTCAACATTCAAGCATCTACTGCTGTCCATCTTCCATGGTTTTATTATCTGCAACTGCTCTCATTTTCTCGTACTCAAACTCTTTCTGCTTTTCAGCATACTCCGCCGGCACCACTGGACGCCTGTTACCAAACACGGTCCACAGATACAGTCCGACAAATGACGCCAATGCTCCACAAGCAACACCGAAAACCATTGCACCGAAAGCCTTTTTTGTACAATCCCTTTTCTTTTCCTCCGCCTTCGAGTTCTTAGCAATGGCCTTGGGATCTACCGGCTGTGAGTGCGTCCAGTGAGGCACATGCCTTTGCACAAAGCTCCAAGAGTATACAGAACACGTCTGAGACGAATTCCTACTCATTGCACTTAATCCCACAAGCACTTCCTTATCTCCCCACATTTCCGACAAATCAATCGGATACCACAGCAGAGGATCAACGGGCTTCGAACCACCGAATTTACTCAGCCTAACTTCCAATCGATTCGAACCCGCTTCGTAATCGATCCAGGCCTGCGTTTTATTCCCACTACTTGGATCCAAATTCTTAGCAGAAACATTGCTTACTTTAGCAGAAACAGAACTACCCACATCAATTCCAACATGAACATTTCCATCACTCAATGCGTCAAATTTGACAGCAGCAACTTTGAATTTACTTTTACCATTGCCCAGAGAAAGCCCAAAAGAGCTGTTACCAAATAGGCTAAGATTAAAACCCTTTGGAACCACTACAAACGCCAATCCATCCCCACCGCCGTTGGAAATAGAAAACGAGAAGTTCGTCGAAAAAGACACGGATTTCCGAGGCTTACCTTCATACAGCTCGATGGGTATCTTGTAAATAGCTCGGCCGGCGCTCGAGCTCACTGAACTGGTGAGCTGAACTGCGTATCCGCCATTGACGACCTCTGCATCTCCGTACAGAGCTATATCTGACCCAAAGTTTGACACTTTACCGAAATGGGTGAACGAAAAGGAGGAGTTGGAGGCGGCGGAGGTGGTTCTGAGGAAGAAAACGAGGAAAGCTACGGCTACGAAGTGGGTGGAGATGGAAGATGCGGCCATGGAGGAAGCGGGTTGGAGCTGAATCTGGGTGGGGATTGAGCAGTGGGGTTTCTAGGGCTCGGGGAAGATGCCCATTTGCAATTAAAGGTGAATTTCTTTGGTTTTTTTAGGGTTTGGAAGGGGAAGAAAGCAGAGGAGGAGGGTAAAGAATATTGAGGCGGTTGGGTTGCAGGTTGTGAAAATTTAATACGTTCACTCGTTTCTGCAAACTCTCTGACTCACTTTCTCTGAGTGGTTGCTGACTGACGGAATATAATAAAGGTTTTTTTGCACTTGTGTGCTTGTTCTTTTCTTCAATTTGCACTTCCACCTCTCTTTTTTTGTGTATTTTCAGAAATAGCCATGATTTTTATACTTCTATAAGTCTATTGATGGTGATAAACTTTATAAAATTACTTTTTCTTTTCCTCCCTTTTTCTTTTTAAGATTCTTGATGCATACGGAAATGAAATGGAAGTGTTTTTTCTTTTTGCTTGATTATCTGACAATATAAGCATCTTATAACATCATAAGATAAATTTAGATTACTAATTAGGTTTAAGTATACACAAAAACAACAACAAAATAAGTACTCGTTTATCTACATAAATATGGCAAAAGAACATTAGTGTATCATGAGGTACAATGACTTCAATTATACAAAAGTCCAACCATCAACTCCCTTGCTCCAAAAAGCAACAAGACTACAAGACTAGCTTAGTTAGTTAAGAACATTCATCCTACACTTAAGCTTTAGAGTTCGATTACTTTATCTCCCAACATCGCTTGTATAGAAAAGGCATAAAACTCTTCACCCACTCTATAAAAGAAATAGCAAGGTATATGTAGTTTTCTAGATGTAGCCAGTGAAAGACCTTCAATACAAGCGAAGTTCTCAAGTGTCATTAATTGTATACAACTAGGTAGGAGGGCAGCTTTGCTACCAATAGAAAGAAATACAATAGCTCCACTTCCATGGTGCAACAAATGCAAATAAGCAAATTTTCAGATGTGTTTTGTAGAATATCTTAAAATTTAGAGATAGAGTTGTCAATTTAGGCCTCATAGAGAGTTTGACAAATAAAATTTTGTCATTCATTTGTTTTTATTTATAAATATTATTAGTACAGTGAATAGTCTCATTCAAACTAATTTTCTATGCCAAACGAGATGTTAGTATTTTAAAAGAAAGGGATGGCTGTATTACAATTTTTAATATTTTTCTCCCACTACTTCCTCTCTCTTTTCAGTTTTGTCCATTTGGCTTTGGATATGGGGACCATCCATAAACCGCAACAAGAGTTTGATAAAAAGGAAAACTAATGAAAATGGCTTGAAAACTTTGAGTTTTAATGATAATGACAAAATAAAGGGTAAAGTGAATAATACCAAGATTGACTTTTTAGTGTAAAAATGTGATTTTTCGTTAAAATGAACAGTACCGGATGCTTTTCGTTAAAGTTCCCTTGATAAAAAGGATGTTAGTATTTTAAAAGAAAGGGATGGCTGTATTACAGTTTTTAATATTTTCTCCCACTACTTCCTCTCTCTTTTCAGTTTTGTCCATTTGGCTTTGGATAGGGGGACCATCCATAAACCGCAGCAGGAGTTTGATAAAAAGGAAAATTTGAAATAGATACAATTTTATAGGCCTATTTTTTAAATATGTCTAATTTTTAATGATTTTTTATTTTTGAAATAGGTCTAATTTTTAGTTATTTTGAACTCATATCAAAATACCCTGATAAAAATCAAAGAGTCGAGAGAGATAGGGTGGTGTGCATAGTGCTTACTTTAGCAAGCTCTTTTTAGTAAACAACTATTGTGCGCGTGCTTTTGTGTCGTCTACTATTCTTGGACTAAACAAAAACAGGATGGAGTTTCCTTCACTCACTTATTTAATTATATAATCTTTAATCAAATCTTAATCTAATCTAATCTAATCTGCATGTTATCTCACTGCCTCACTGTAAAAGCGAAACAAATTGTTTGTTAAACAACTTAAACCTTCTTTGTTTTGTTTCTTCTTTAATGACTTTTCCTTCTACCGTAAAAGCATACGTGTAAGTCATCGGTTGGGTGCAATCACCACGTGGATATGGACCATTGTCTTGACCTCTAAGTTTTCCAGCTCGAAAACCGAAATATTCTTCGATGCTAAAGTAACTCCATCACAGATTCGGAAGTTACATAATACGAGTGAGCGAAACGCTTGATATTGCATTGTTTAAATTATAATGCCAAGAATTATAATCCGTATTAGTTAATCAACACTACAGTAAGGATTTGACAGTTACCAAATTATCGTCATCCTGACGTTCCAGTTCATACATTGTTGTATGTTAGAAAGACTTAGTAGACCGTCTTATCAGTATCGTGTATTCATAATAGATTTAGAACCACATATAACAAGTATAAAAACAAGCATTAAAGTGAGACAAGGGGTCCAAATGAAGGAAAATACAAGCATTTAAAGTATGAGTACAGTTCACAGATTTCACTTTTATGAGTATTGAGATTCAACTTCTTTGGTCCCCCTTCCTTTGTCCCTTTCTCAACACACAACAAACCTCAAAACCCCCACCATAAACTAAGCAGTCTCCATGAATCCATCATCTGCATGCTTGGCCAAAATCAGTCTGCTATTTCCAAACACATGGAAGGTGCCGGGTTTTGAAGAATGCAAGCAAGAACGTTACAAAACTCGACTAAACGCAACATAATTTCTTGATCCAAACTAAGAATTGGATAAACAACTTATGAAAAACATTCAGAAAAACAAGATAATCAATACGAATGTGCACATCGGACGTGTATAATCATAAAACGCTCGAGTGCAAAAGATAACATGACTTTTTCTGTCCGGTAAGACACCACTTTTGATGTACGTTCTGGCAGATTCAATTGCTTGGTGCTTTAAAGTTTTTCACAGATAGAATATGCAAGGGAGCACCATCTGGGGCAGGCAGATTCAATTGCTTTCCTGCCCATTAAATAATTAGCAGCTCATTAAGATAATGACTAAGGAGGACCCCAAGATGATAAGAAACTTAGTTTTCTAAAGGAGAATGATAGTAAACAATAATTAAGCATGAAAGTAGAGTTAGTGGACTGATTCCGCAATATCTACACAGATTTGCTCATGAACTGAAGATTCTAATGCGACGAGGCTCCCTCGCTATCTTTGGTTGTACTATTGAGGATGGCAGTGCTTCCTTATCCTGACATTTGACACCCCTTGGCCCCTTATTCATTAGATGGAGCCCTAATAAAATTGGACCAGTGAGCCTTCCCTGCCATAGTCCAAGGCGGTCTTCGGGATTGGCATGCATCTAAAGCTAATAGTACAGATGTTATAGGTGGCTAACTGCCACATCTGGCACCTATACTTTCAACATCTAAATGTGGAGTTAGCATAGCTGCACTAAGCTACCGCGTGGGCAGAATGACTTCCATTCTATGGTTGGCTATTACCTACTAATAGTCCTGTTGTCCCGGACCTTATGGTCCAAGGAAATTGTGGACACCTATGGTTCGATTTTAATCCAACAGTGGGGAGAATAAATGTTCATTTAACTTTTGTTGTTTTACTTTGTTCTCCCCCATTGGATTAAACCGAGCGGTAGGTGATCACATTTTCCTGGAGTGTAGGGTCCAGGAGAACGGGACTGTACTTACTAAAGGCTGTTTGCTACCTTAAAGAGGGTCATTATATTTTCTCCTTCAGCTATGCTAATTGTGCTGTGCCTTGCTGCAGTAGAGATCAAAGCTAACGCTAATTGTGTTTTCTGTATGGCAGCACTAGACTCATAATCACGCTTCTTTTGATTGTCCATTTAGCGAGGGGGAATCTGGAGGCAGGCTTTGAGCAATTGCAGAGTTCCCTGGTTGAGTACCAATCATTGTGTGAGCGCTGGTTTTGTTTGGAGGGGTATATCCCTTACTATTACCCTACAGAAGATGACTTATGCAGTCGCAATCTACTGCATATGGAGAGTGAGGAAGAACAAAGTGTTCAAGAATGAAAGAGATCTTCATCTGTTGTTCTAAAGCCTATCATCACTACCAATTACCATGTGTTTATATTGCAACTTACATTTACTCCTTTCGTAGAATTGGTGAGCAACACTTCATAATCTACTCACACCATCATCTCTGTGCACATGAAGATACATTTTCCTATCACAAATTTTTCGAAGGCCTTGACTGAACTTCACGAGTATGGTTAAGTCTGAACCCTAATTCCATGTGACCAGAAAGAACCTAAACACCAAAAGTACCAAAAGCAGACTACTCTGATATGCAATACGCCACTTAAAATTTCACCATAATTTCAAAAAGGAAGTTGGCAGCAAATGGGAAAAACATCTAGAGGGAGGCCAAAATGTGATCTATGGAGAACTAAGAAGGACAGACATTACCAATATGAGTCCAGTAGTTTTGGCCACAAATAAGGCAGCCAATCCAAATTAGCTATTTATGATTTAATATGGTTGGTAGTGGACCTTCATATAATCTCCCTTGTTTATGTGTTTTATAATTTTATATCCATGTCTTGGTGCATCGGGTCATCAGAAACTTACAATGAAACCACGTATACGATAATGGTATGGAATTTTGGAAACTTGTGATTAGTATGCATTATATCTTCATTTCATGACAGATCAAACAGAAAACCAAACTATACTTTGAAGGTGCTAGATATTTTCATATAGATGAGAAAGTAAGATATAACAAGGGGAAAAAGATTGAAAAGCTTACCATTTAAAAATGATTGATGACTGAACATATTTACATGGTCTCTGAAACAACTTTTTTTTCAACGGTCTCTAAAACAATTTCACTGATATCTAAATCGACTAAGCTTTCTTTCCCAAATAACGTAAATCCCACGGTTGCCTGCAAGATGACACACATTTTTCTTCCTTTTGTTAAGTTTCCAAAAGAGAAATTCTTTCATTTATCGTGTTGACATTGCTGTAAATAACCCATAAGAAGACGCTAATAGTTCTATCATATATATCCCAAACAAAAAGAAGACATGCATGCTTAACCTCCACCCATTTTCACTTAATTAAACTGAATATTTCATGCCAGAAAAAACAAACCTTTTTTGTTCTTTTATTCAGCTTCTTCAGGCTGCCTACATATTCTGCAAAAGTCCCAGATAAAACTCGTACAGAAGAACCTGGGATGAGCTTCTCACTCTTTCCTTTAGATGAACCATTTATGAGAGGATCAAGTGTTTTTCTAGGTCGCCTTTTTGGTTTAGAAATAGAATCTCCAGCAGATTCGTCAGCATCATTGAGGGCTGCTTCTTGCTGCTCTTGCTCAAAAGCTTGTTCAGCTTTCTGTTGTTCTTCCTTAGCCTGTCTGAAGATAGCTTCCATGTCAAACTCAGAAACTGACCGGGGTCTGGTAATTTGTCTTTTCCTGTGCACATGCGAATAACATTGTATAAATTCTCACTGGAAAACGCACAAGGTAGTAGTCTAGAGGGATATATAATTTAGATGGCCTCAATATTAGAAATTAACTGTGAAAATAATGCGTGTCAGGGAATCCCAAAATCTCCGGTAAACCAGAAAACTTAACCCACAATCTACCTAATGTGTTTTAGCTAACACCTAAGCCCAAAAGTCGCTTCATATTACATAATTGTGCAGGCATAACATGAGTTCATAACTTTATACATAATGTCTGTCGTTTTGGCCAAATGGAGCGTTCTTTCAGAACTTCTTTTCTAAAAGAATACCAGGATCTTCTTTTTGTCGTACAATCCCGCCAATTTAACCAGGCAAGCTCAATCAGTTCTAGACAGGATTTAATTCTGAAAATAACAAATTGACATTTGTATCTAAAAGGTTTCTTCATATCTCCTCAATCAACTATCCTCTTTTCATACTACTATAACAATAAAATTAGGCAATACACAGCAAACCTACTATGGAAGAAATTTACTCACGTATTTCCGACCTTGGAACCGACAAAGCCCGCAACTCCATCACACTCTCTTATGAAGTCATGTAACTCTTGTCCAATACACACCTTATAAACACACACCCTGGGAATAGAGGTCTCGGTTTAACCAAGTTACCATTTTTCAATTTCTTCCTGTCTTGGATAGATGGCGCATATATCTGAAAAGCAAACAATCACATATTTACATGTTTAATTTTGGTCTAGACATTGAATTGTATAACAAATACTCAGATAACAGGGCACCAATTCAATATGTTCAGCTGGAATCAAGCAGACATCTTTATCATTATCAGATTACATCAAATTTCCAACAAACCCAGAAATCAAAACATTGAATTAAACTAGTAAATACCTTAAATTCAACGAAATTAAACATATAATAGTATCACATTTCCTCAATTTTTCAAAAAACCCAGAAACCAAAACATTGAATTGAAGTAATCTAGTACCTTAAAATCAATCTGAGGATAGTTCCTGGCGAGCAATCGAGCGATGAGCTGAGCGGTCTCCTGGCCCTTGACTCGAGAGACCTTGATGATCCACCATTGTGGACCTTCGTGAGCGAGGTTATTAAGGTTGAGCTCTTCCTTCCAATTGGCGAACTTCTTCGTGGGCTTCTCCAAAAGCTTCTCCTCCACCTCCTCTTTCCAGCTGGTGCCAGTTTTGCTCTCTCTCCTCTCGTTCCTGAGCTGCCTTCTCTCTCTGGCTGTAAGGTGTTGGGTGCCGGCGGTGGCGGGTTCAAGAGTGGCGGAGATGGAATGTGGGAATTGGGTGTGTTTGGTAATGGGGAAAGCAAGGGGGAGTGAGAAGAGGGAGGTGGGAGACAGAGAGTGGTGGCAAGGACTCCATGGGAGAAGTCCTTGTGTCATCCTGAAGGTTGAGCGTGTTGCAGGCAGAGAGGAGATAAGGAGGGAGTTGTGGATTCTCTGTCCCTTTGGATTTATAACTGAATTTCTATATGGCCCAGAATTTAGTTTCGGGCCGTTTTTATGTTTTGTTTGGTTTTCGGCGGTTAATCTAAAAAGCCCAATGAACCCACGCAGGCTTGGAAGGTCTTTATCCTTAAGTCCGTGACATTAACTAGATTTATTTTTTTCCGTTACTACGGTATAATAATATTCATTTTCACTTCTATTTGAAAGTTCTTAGACTTATTTCTCATCAAAGGTAAATTAAAACCACATTATTTCTATAACTCATGAAGAATTTTAAGGATGGAGTTGCTCTTAGTATAGATAATATCGTTTGTTTAAAAAAAAAATTGTAGGTTTCGATCGAGAGAGAGAGAAAGCAAAATGAACTTTTTTTTTAGGTTTCAATCGAGAGAGAGAGAGAAAGAAAAACAAACATCTCTTATTGATAAGCTAACTAATTTCACGATTAAAGAAGCACTAAGTGTCCTAATTAACTAGAGTTTAACAAACGATAATTCCTAATTACTAATGCTGATGTGTTACGGTGGCTAGCAAATAGTGAACACTTCATGTGTTACGATCTAATGTTTATGTTGGTTATAAATTACGTACGAATTTGGGTTGGCCTCCTCCAGTTGCTATACAAGGTTCTTTATTTTCTAACTAGCATGAAATGTGTATAATATAAGCAACTTTGAGCTCGATTTTAATTATTTAAAGCAAGATGTATAAGTAGGTCATTTAAAGATAACACATTGATGTTTCTTACATAAAAAAAAAGAAATTATAGCACGTGACTAAAGTGGATATACTTTGTGATCTTTTGTAAATCTGAACCAGAAGTCAATTATTTGAAATGAAATTGCTCATAAATTTTTATTTATGCGTTAAAGATCATTTTAACTGTCGCCATGAAAGTTTTATTTCCATTAAAAAATACGTTTGCATTAGGTCTAGTTACACTATTTTGTTCCTAAATTCCTATTTTGATCAAATATTGGCTAAGTGAATTTCCATTACTTATTATAATTAGGGTTAGGAATTAGGATACTTGCACAAATTGCAGTTGCCGAATTGAATTGATTTTTTATTTTTATATAAATTTTAACAAAATCTATTATCCCCTCTGGATAGCTTACTGAGCAGGCGATCAAAACCGTTGAAATTTGATCTAACGGTTATAATTATTATAACTTTTAAAGGATATCCTATTTGTAACCATTGAATCAAATTTCAACGATTCGGACCGCCTACTCAGCAGACTCAGTTTTATTGGGTACGGAGGGAATCCGGTTCCAAGTTTCCCGGCCTGTTTCTAGCGTCCCGCATTTGTCCCAGTTTCGTCCCAAAATTTCAAAAACTCCCGCGGTTTCTATTCTTCCATCTCCCTCCTCTCTTTTCTCTAAAACTCCCTCCATTTTAACCCTCTCCCATTTTCTCTTTCCTCAGATCTCAACCTCTTCTTCCTCCTCACTTCCGTCCAATTCCTAATTTCCCACAGCATCTCCCAATCTTCAGAAATGGGGAAGCAATCCAGGGGCAAGAAATCAGAGAATTTGGGGAAGGGAAAGGTCACCCCGGTCCAAATCGCCTTCATAGTCGACCGCTACCTCTGCGACAACAACTATTCGGAAACCCGTTCTGTTTTCAGAACCGAGGCTTCGTCTCTCATCGCCAAATCTCCGATTCGAGAGGTACCCAATTTGTTTTTCTCGACGATTGTCAGAAAGCTTTTGTCTTTGTTTGATTTGGGATTTGGGTTTTTCTGAATTTGTCAGGCGCCGAAGAGCTTGCTGAGCTTGGCTGAGATTTTGGACGAGTACATACGGTTGAAGGAGCAGAAGGTGATTTTGGATCAGGAGAAGGTCCGAGTGGAGCAGGAGAAGACCCGGGTCCAAACCCTGTTGAAGGGAATGCAAAGCGTGATGAATACATACAATGCCGGTGGAAGCCCCTCCATCTCTACAGCTCCGGCTGTGGCTCCGAAACCGATGCTCCTGGCTCCTCCATCTCACCCGTCTAATGGGTCCGCTGCAGGTACAATTAAGAATATAGTGAGAGCTGCATGTGGTTTTTGAGAGTTTTGACGCTTCAACTTTTAGGATTTTTGTTTTGTATGCCTTAAATTATTTGAATCCTTTTGAGGGTGTGATAAATTAACAGAAACCCAAAAGAATAATCGCTCTATAAGCTATGAACTCAACATGGTTATTTTTTTTTTCTGGCGCCTTTCGATTAGGGCTTCTAATGCACCAAACGCCAGTTGCTCCTCCTGTGACCACACCTTCCAACCCCAACATGAGGCCTGGAAATTTCCGCTCTCCAATAACAATCTACCCACCTACAACAAAGAGAAAGAGTTCAAAGGTGGATGCTTCGAATGCTGCTAAGAGATATCGCTGCAAATTACCTGCTGGCAAGAGCAATATGCACAACAGAGGTATATAACTGTGCATGTTCTTCAAAGTTGTGTGCTCTTAGTCTGTTTTATGTCATTACTGGGTGTTTATTCTTCTTGAACTTTAAAATGAGCAGGTGGAGGAGCAGTTTCTGGATCAGATAATGGGCTTGATAATCAGGAATCTGTCCAGCACTCTTTGGATGTTCAATCATCACCTCACAATATGGTTCCCAATGGCTCCACCGTGGAGAAATGCTTGTTCAACCAGGCATCATTGTCTGTCCCAACCAATAACTCTGGTCCTCGGACACCTCAGCGAGCAAATTCAATTCAAAGCGACAACTCTACACCACCTTTTGAGATTTCTTCCAGTGCTACCTGCAGTTATAACAATTCTCCTCCAGACGTAAACCCAACTTGCACCATATTCTCTTCAAAGAGAGTGATTCTGAGCCCGAACAAAGCTTGCTACACTGTGGAAACAAACCATTGCATTTCTTCACCTGCCAAGACAAGTAAGAGGGAGTCCCATGTAAAGGGGAGGCTCAATTTTGATTGTTCTGATGTGCCAATGAGCTTCGAGAAACCAACTGGCAATGAGATTTCATCACCTGAATCTGAAAAGGAAGTTGATCTTTTTGACATCGATTTGACGAACTTTGATGCCATTGGGGCGGATTTCTCCTTCACTGAACTGTTAGGTGAATTTGATCTTCATTGTGAAGAACTTGGTCTGCCAAACTTTGATGCTTCCACTGCGACGGTTTCAGGGTATTCTCTACCTTCCATACTTTTACATCACAACTGTTTCTCCATTATTTTCTTCACTACTGTCATTTCACTTCAATTCTCTTATGTTCTCTTCTACAAAACTCATATAGGTCATCTTATGAATCTGCGGATGGTAATGTGGGGGTCAATCAATTTATGTCAGAATTTACATCAACTATGACAGAAGTACTATCAGAGAAGGACATGAATGCGCAAGGTGATTTGAAACAACTTCTATTGCTATAAAGTTTCCATCCTGTTCACCCATCTTGAATATCTAATGAGTGAGTCACGGTTGTTGCAGGATCTGATCCTCTGACTGCGATGAAGTCTGTGACGAAATGTATTAGAATTATAAGCCCTGGTAATTTCACCATCCTTTTCTAATGTTTTCTCTCGTTTGCATTCAAAAGTCTAGAATTCCTAATTCGCACACTTCCGCAATTTGCAGTGAAAAATCGTGGAAGCTCTGAGGCTTAGGAGAATTGTACTGCAATGACCTGACTGTTTTTTGGAACGACCTCCTCGGAAAGATTTCTAATTATGTTAACCATTCAAAACCATTTTAGAAGCTTTACTAGAGTTGCTATAGCATTAGACAACTCACGTTCCTGGGAAATACTTGTAATTTTGTAGTTAATATGCCCTGGTTGTAGTCCTGGGCTTAATTAGGCTAATGGCTTGTACTTAGTTTTGTTTCATGTAAGTCTCTCTCCTCGAGTAGGAAGGATTGTTCATATTTAACAAGGGCTACTTTTGACTTTCAAAATTTCAGCAAAAACAAAATATAAAGTCCCAAGTCTTTAATTCATTGTTCTTCTTGAGAAAAAGTTCGCATACAACTTTATCTTCACAAAACAAAATTAAATCTCTTTGTTGTCACATTTTGATCATGCTAAGTACTTCTCCAATTTCTCCACCTCCTCCATGCTTCCGATGTAAAGAGGAACACGTTGATGGATCTGCAGAAACAAAAGTAGAAATTCTAGTTAATCAATTTACTTAGTGAACTGCAGAAACTCACAACTTTTACATGAATTGTACTCACCTCAGTTGGTTGAATGTCAAGTACTCTGGAACTGCCATCCGACCCTTTCCCGCCGGCTTGTTCCACTATAAAGCTCATTGGTGCGCACTCATACAACAACCTCAGCTTCCCATTCTTGCTCTTCTTGTCTCTAGGGTAACCATAAATGCCGCCATAGAGCAGCGTCCGGTGGAAGTCACCAACCAAGCTGCCGATGTACCTTGCAGAGTAGGGCTTGCCACTAGGACCTGGGTCCTTAAGATCATCAATGTACTTCTTCAACTTGTCATCCCACATCTGATAGTTCCCTTCATTGAACGAGTAGATTTTTCCGGCTTTCGGAATCTGAATGTTTTCTTGAGTCAAGACGAATTCTCCGTACATGGGGTCCAAGGAAAATGCAAATACACCAGTCCCAATTGTGAGCACAAAGATCACAGAGCTTGAGTACATGCAGTAGCCGGCAGCAAGTAAGTTGCTTCCTGGCTGGCACACGTTCACTACACATTTCTGTTCCGCACTGTCAAGCTGAAATGCAACATATAAATCATTCCAATCATTCAACCGTGACAATTCGGAAGAACCCTATTCGGATTACTACATTTGCCCTTAGAGAAGAACTTACGCTCAATGGAGATGCCATGATGATATCTCAAGCTAATCACGCACCACTGTTTGAGAGTTAAAACACGTGACACAGTGACAGTACATGATTGACTTGAAATACAGCTACAGTGACATTCTCGTTATATGTAGGTTTATCTCTAATTATCAGCTAATGTGACATATGACATTTCCTTATCCGATATCAACCAACGAAGTTTAATGAACAAATGAAACAGCGGCGCATTAGTGGACTTACGGTTGAGTCCTCTTCAATGTCTGCAAAGCACTCATCATTTGGGCTGTATATTCCAAAGATGGATCCAGTGGAGACAGCAGCATCAATGTTGGATGATCCATCAAGTGGGTCAAACACCACAATGTAGTTGCCGGAATAACTCTCTTCCACCGCCACCGGCACATCCTCTTCCTCTGATGCTATAATCCCTGTCCTTCCGCTTGATCTCAGGCAGTTCGAGAAAACCTGTTTGTAGTTTGTACTAAATAATCAAACCCTCTATTTATAAAGGTTGGCGCCATAATTATACTTTGTGAGCAACACAAGATCGCCAATCCGTTGTAGTCTAGTTGGTCAGGATATTCGGCTCTCACCCGAAAGACCCGGGTTCAAGTCCCGGCAACGGAATTAGTTTTTGTAATTTTATCTTAATTTTTATTTTCCTAATACTCTGCCAAATTTATCCCAACATTATTTAATTCCAAAAGGTCCAAAACATCAACTAATTGACTAATTGAGCCTGTTCTTAGCGAAGAAATCTTTCATTTTAACAAATGCGGTTTCTAAATCAATCTAATATGTGCGAGGGATTCAAACAAAACGGGTGAGAATTTGAACACGGGTGTTAGTACGGACATATGGTCCTGATAAACTGACCAAACTCACATCTCCGATTCAGGTAGGAATTAGAAGCAGCACAAACCTCATTGGAGACAACATCAAGTTTCTTTTGGTCCTCTCCTTGGATATTAACCGCACCCTGAATCCCAGTCAAGTTGGAAATGCTAGCCCTCTGCACCAAAGAAGCAATCTGCTTGCACGCCAACGAAATGCTCGACAGCACAATGGTCAGCTCGGCGTCAATCACCCCGGCCTGCTCTTGCTTCAGCAGCCAGCCCGTCAGCGTCTGAATCTTGTATCCGCTCTTCTTCTTTGGCTCCGCCGTCTCCGCCGCCACCGCCATGCACCTAACTCCGTCAGCCGCATGCCTCCTCTTGCTGTAACTGAAGTTGTTAGGGCATGAGACGACTGTTTTGGACCCCAACACACATTGTTGGAGAGGATAGAGGTTAGAGAGAGAGCGGGAGCTTGAGCATAGCAGTTGGGACGACGGTGAAGTTAACGTCGCCGCAACCATGATTTGGTGTTTGTGATTTTTGCTCTGTTTTTTTGAGTGTTTGATTTTCCGGTTTTTGATGTTTTTTGTTTTTTGGTTTCTTGGATTGTATGTGTGGGAGTGGGATTTGTGAGGTTGGCAACAATTTCTGTTATTTTTCTTGTTTTCTTTTGGGTCCCACTTATCTTGCTTCTGTATATGTTCGTTTTTGTGATCGTGGTTTCTTGGGGAGTAAAATAGGACGAGGGAGATTACAAATAACAAGTGGAAATGCAATTTGGGTTGTCGGGTTGGGTTTGATGTTGGGTTTAGGTCGTTAATAAACTATAAAGCCTTGTATCTAATGATATCGGTCTTTAAAACCTAGGCCCAGGATTTTCAAAGCCCGAACTTATCATAATCTTGTAGTCTGTTCTCTTGGTGACCAAAGAATGCATGATTACTCATCCTTAAATCTAGTATCAAAAGTAGAAAATAAACGAATGTGCTTTTGATATTTTAATCTCAATCTTTGATATCAAATCTAAAGGTGAGTGACCACGACTTCTTATCCACCAAATGATCAAGAGAATATGACTCGTCTTGCATAAACAGAAAACAAAATCTGTTTAGGAAAATTTAGCTTAAGAAAGACAGGAAAAAAAAAGGCAAAAGGGATATGTTATCTCTTATTGGCACGATTTGGCTGGAACTTGAACCTCCATAGATCTTTAATTTCTGAAATTTTAGTTTGAACTTTACACAATTTGATGTCTAAAAGCAAAACTACTACTTGACTATTTATTTGCTTAATGGTTACTACTACTTGACTATTTATTTGCTTAATGGTTTGTCTAGTTTAGCTAACCAAAACAAATAAATAGTAGCAGTGGGAAAAAAAAACGATTTTTTATTTCTCATTTACCTTAACCAAAATAATTAATTAAGGTCACTTTGATAATCATATCAAACTCTAATCTTGCACACTTTTAGTCGTATTACAAAGCTAATAAGTTATAATGAATGACGTTAAATTATTGGGAACTTTAACGAAAAAAACCCGGTACTATTCACTTTAACGAAAAACCACATTTTTACACTAAAAAGTCAATCCTGGTACTATTCACTTTACCCTTTATTTTGTCCTTATCATTAAAACTCAAAGTTTTCAAACCCTTTTCATTAGTTTTCGTTAAATTAATGAGATGAATACTTGAAAGTGTAAGTCAATCCTGGTACTATTCAAAGTTTTCAAATCCTTACACTAGAAAGTGTAAGGATTCGTGCGTAAGAGATGTGTTATTCCCTAGCCTTTATTTATAGTAGTAAACATGAGATGAATACTTGTCCTCCAAGTAAATACAATTCTAGTAGGAAAAAAATATCTAGTAATCAAATCTATCTAGAATTTACACAATTACACTTTAATATAATATCTATAACACAAAAAACAAAAGTTAGAAAATGGAACAAGTGACAAATGGGCTCCAAACAGAGAAATTTATAGAGGATCGTAGACGTATAGTTTCAGCAACCTGGAAGGTTGCAAACTCGTCTCATGAATATAGAGGACGCCTTATAATTCAACGTTGTCTATCTCTATATATAACTAGTCGTTACCTTTTGTTGTTTGCAGTTCATAACCACCACCTCCTTATAAATCCACACTTCTCTCTAATCTCACAAACAAATCTCTCTTTTGAGTTCTATTTTTGTCCAACAAAATCCCACATTATATCATAAACCCAAATCCCAAATCCACTGTACATGGCGGTTTCCACCAAGTTTTTCGTTCTCTTCCTCTAGTTCCTCTCCATCAATGCAGTTCTAGGTTAGTTGGTCAGGACAATGTGTATTATGCTTATTTTTGTATATGAGATTGATCTTTAACTTGTTAAATAACACGGTTAAGTTAAACTTGATTTGATAATTTTTTTTTCACGTGAATTTATATGTGAGAATTTGCCAAACGATGTTTGTGCATTTTCAGTGTCGTCGGCCGGAAAAAGGTGCTTGTTAGAGACCATGTCCAAGAAAGATGGAAGCATAGAGTACCAGTGCAGGACATCAGAAGTTGTGGTGGAGGGAGTGGCTGAGTAAATAGAGACAGATGAGTGTGTGCAGGCTTGTGGGATTGATAGGAAGTCTGTTGGGATTTCATCTGATACCCTCCTTGAGCCTCAGTTCATGGCCAAGCTTTGCTCTGCTCCTTGTTACCAAAAGTGCCCCAACATTGCTGACCTTTACTTCAATTTGGCTGCCGGAGAGGGTAAGAATATTTTCACAAATCCTTGATTAATTTCATCTTCTTATTTTTCGATTAATCACTTTATTTAGTGGTTCCAATTCCAAGTGAGTAAGAATGATTGTTTTGTCACACCTAAAACATTCCCACTCTTATTATTCGGACGAAAATTAAAACAAAGAGTAGAATAGTTCGAAAATTCTCTAATAATACTGGTCCAGTGCATTGAACGGTTGGATTAGGTTTTTACGGTCTTAACTTAGATATTTAAAACCCGATACATCCCATACACAAGTGAATTGTAGAAAAATCGAGAATAATTTTGTTCATACTTAAAAAGGTTGCCAAGGAATATGCTTCACTTTGGTATGGTATGGTTTTCTTTGATCATGTTGATGGCATTATGATACCTTCGTCGTGATGGCTTTTCTTCTAATTCAATCAAAATTTTCACCTTTTATTATCGTACAATTTAATAACTTTGATGCATAAAGGCGTGTGATTGAACAAAATATTCTTACATACAACTGGTATATATAACATCCTGTATTTTCATTGTATCATATGTCGATTACGTGATCAATTTGTACAGCAATAGTATAGTAGGCATATCATTGTACGTAAGATAAACACTAATATATGTTAATCACAATGCAGCATAAAACTAATATATGGAACTTAATTATATGTTTTGACAAATGCAGGAGTATTCTTGCCCGATCTCTGTGGCAAGCAACGTTCCAACCCTCACCGTGCCATGATTGCGCTTATGAGCTCCGGCGAGGCCTCCCCCAGTCCCTACGGCTCTCAAGTACCATCAGGGTTGAGTGTAGCATATCCCCCTTCTGAGGGAGAATCACTTCCTCCTTCCGAGGCGTTTGAACCTGCAGCTGCTCCTAGTCCTATGTAATCATGCTGTGTAGTTTCTGCATATAGTTTCTTTTGAATTATATATTAGCGTAAATTAAGTGAGGAGGGGAATTTGGGTTCATTTTGTTTGTGGGTGGGTTTTGTTGAGATATACAACGTTATATCAAACGTAATTGTACTACTTTACAAAGATCATATAACGGTATTGAGGGGTTCAGATTGGTTTAAGCTACAAAATGAGCTAGGAACAATTTGATATGGAACTTTCTATTTATGAAAATCAAACTTAGAGAGAAGAAAGCATGGCAGATCTATGTGTCAAACGAAAGCATACCGATTCATGTGTCAAACAAGGCAACCGCCTCTAACACAATAGTTGGCTTTCTCAATCTTCCGCTAAAACCTCCTTGCCAATGCATGCAATCTAATGACCTTATCATGCCCGGAAAGCCACGGTCTTCAACTTTGCAAAGGAGCTGATCCAGATCTGCTTAATTTGGTTCATAGAGGTACTCCTCTTTGTAAATCTGAACAACCGTGTGACAGCTTTGCATAGGCCAGCATTTGGAGTGCAATAGTAACCTTTTGATGAGGTGAGAAACTAGGGCAGCCTGCTCTGTCAAACTTTTGTTGAAAGTATGGATTGACATGTTGGATTTCATGAAGTAAACGCTCGAAGACATGACGCCTCATTCGGAAGCGACGTTTGAAATCCTCTTCGGTGTACACCGAGTTGGGGTTGAAGTAGTTGTTCATCAGAGTCTTATGTGCTATCTCTCTATTTCGTGGTTTGTAAGAGCGACCAACAACAGAGCCACCACATTGAGGTTGTTCTTCAGTTGCCTCACACGCCATGACCCCAACCATTGCTGCCATATATGTTGTGTTGCGCCATGCTTCATCTTCTTCATCGAACTCCTCATCTTCTCATCTCATCTGTGCCCATTTAGCTTCCAATTTGGAATTGGATGAGGACTCCCAGTTGGAATGCAAAGAGGATCCAAAGTTGGAATTCATTGCAAACTTGAATTGAAAGAGATTGGATTGAAAGAGATATTGGAGAGGGCTAAGATAAAGGTGTGTGAATTATACCCCAATATCCACTCTATTTATGGACATTGGAAGCTGAAAATAAGAAATGCCACGCATATAAGAATCCTATCTCGACACGTGGCACTCGAAATCCTATCCGAAAAATGATTGAGATTACATATCGACAAGAAATCTGAAGAGTTACTCACTTTAGCGACACGTGTCACTCGAAATCCTATCTAAAAAATTATTGAGATTACATTTCGAAAAATTATTGAGGTAGTTTAATTTAAGTAACCATATTAATTTAATTAAAATAATAAATTATGTTTGGCCTATAACGCTTTGACCCTCTCTGTTGGAGATAATTTTTTGTTACAGGGCTATATTTGGCCTATGACTCTTTAACCCCCTCGGTTGGAGATGGTAAAAAATATGGTTTGACACTGTTTATTAAGATATTAATTTCTTTGAGACTATAGGGCTAAAAGGAACCCTCTGGTTCTCCTTCGGTTGAAGATGGCCTAACATCCCATTTTAGACTTGAAACAGAGGCACTGAACTATATCTAGATTTTAGCCAAAAAAAAAAAAAATCTTATGAGTACCGGAAAACATTAGAAGCCCAATCCTCTTGAACCTTTTGGAACTGGGGTACGTTTTCTGGTTAGTTTGGCGCGAATTATATAAGCCTCTCAATAATTTTTTTGGTGGATCGATAGTGTTAATAAGTTATGCATTATGCTATTAGGAAGAAGGAAATCAATAAGAGTCAAATCCGCACCAAGATGCATATGTATAATTATTTAATACTTTCACGTCTTATTATTAATTAATATTGTACTTTAAAAGTGAAAAAATCAACGTGCATTCTGGGTAACAGGTGAACGACCTAAACATAGTTAAGTACCACACAATTTCTTGCTTCAGGAACATTACAGGAAGAAGCAAGATATTGCAATATCAATACTGAGTCCTAAATATAGAGACGCCATAAAATTTTATGGAGCTAAACTACAAACAATTAAGAACCTTTTTTTAATCGGTTTCCGCCCTATATATAGTTCATATCAATCTCCTTTTATCTCTCGTAAACCAGATCTCTTTTTCTTAGTCAATTACTTCAGGCAGTTCAACCACGGATTTCTCAACCATGTTTATTCCTTTGCTCCTCTTCCACTCTTTCCTATTCATCCATGCAGCTCTAGGTGCACAAATATCATTACTTTAATCGCTAAAGATGGTTAGTTTGAAATTAATCTCGTTTGGTCAATTTTCAGGTGAGATTGTATATGTGAGCATTTGCCAAACGAGATTTGCGCATTTTCAGTGTCATCTTCGGGGAAACGGTGCTTGTTGGAGATGATGGCTAAGAAAGGCGGAAAGGTTGAACACGAATGCAGGACATCGGGAGTGGTGGTAGAGAAGATGGCTGAATACATGGAGACGGATGAGTGCATCAAGGCATGCGGTGTTGATAGGAAGGCAATTGGAATTTCCTCTGATACCCTCCTTGACCCTCGAGTTCTCAATAAGCTTTGTTCAACTGCTTGTTACCACAAGTGCCCTAACATTATTGAACTTTACTTCAACATGGCTGTTGGAGAAGGTATGTAATTAAGATCTCGCAAATCTACGTGCATATGATTGACGATTTTTCTTAATCTTAGTGTTTAGTGGTTATCTAACATACTATCAGAGTATTCTAACACTAACATTTTTGTGTTTTTAAAATCTAGAGAGTATTCTTGCCTTATCTTTGTGAAAAACAACGGTCCAACCCTCACCGCGCTATGGAAGTACTTTCGAGTTATGGCGATGGCCCTTCATATGCCTCTAGTCCTTTTTCGCAAGAATCATCATGAAAACTTCATCCTGCATTTGCCCCTGGTCCCTTATAGCCATGCATGTTGCCGCTCCTTTGGAATGTTAGTGGCAACAAATTTTGGAGGAGATTTGCCACATTAATTGAAGCGTAATCCCTAATACTAGACCGCCAAACTTCTGTTTCAAATAATGTACATATGTGACATTTTTATTGTTTAGGACCAATAATGTTATTTGGAAAACTCTTACTCATTACCTCTATTAGAAATGTGAGTATGTACGTCCCACATATGGAATTTGACCTTGCAATGTGATCAAGGCTATCATAACAAGATGCCAACTCACTTCGAAGTCAACTTGGACAACATGGACACAATTTAATCACATGCAAGAGAAATTGTTAATGCATGTAAAATTCAAATTACAATAATCAGTTAGGACAACATTGAATTGTAAGCAGTCACGCTCATGTTTATTAGCATGTTATATATAAGGTAAAGTGAAGATTCGTTAAAAAAATATTACTATACTAGCCATAAAAAAATATTTTTATTAGAAGAAAATGAGATCAGAAATTATATATACTAAAAGCCGGTTGAGCCAGACATTGTTCAGTAATAGTGAAAGGGTGGAAATGCCCTTGATTTGTTGGGAGTTTAGGCGATGTTGACTTGGTTTTGCACAGTGGATTATCAATTTTGCCTCCGCTAGGTGGGCTGTTTTCAGCTGGCCGAAAAGCCCTTCGCCTTTTTTATGGTTTATGATTGTGTCACGTGTTGCATGGAGAAGGTGAGAATTGACTGTGCCACGTGTTGGTCATCTTTTTGTGTTCTTTTTGGGCTTTATTTTGGTTCCTTTTTCGTTGTGTTTCCTTTCTTATTCCCGTTCCCTCTTCTCTGTCGCTCAGTTTGTATTTCCTTTTGTTCTCCACTGTCTGCTTCCTTTTGCCGCGCTTTTGTGTTTTCGTCTTCTTAGTTGTGCTTTTCTCGCTTCACAGTTGTTTCCTTCGTCGGACAACTTTGTGTGATTTTCTTTTCATTTTTAACTTCGTTTGTAGATTTTTGTGTCAGTTTGCAAAACGGGTTTTCTTCTGTTGTGTTTAGAGAGATTTGGACTTTGTTGGTTTTTGTGTTCGTGGTTTAAATTTTGTGACGTTGTTTGTTTGGGTGTTTTTTGCATTTTAAGCTCTGGGAGGAATTGCTGCATGTGGGGGGAGAGAGGTCTCAATTTCAGTTTTTGAACTAGAGGAGAAAATGGAAAATTTAGACACGCGTTTGTCAAAAATTGAGATATCAAAGAGGCTTTCAGGGGTTTTAGGTTGTATTTCTTAATGAACATGTCTTTTACTCAGAATCAGCAACATTATCCATGATTGCTTGCTAGAGGTTTTCAGAAAGTTAGAGAGAGAGGGTTTGGTTATTCTGTTATGCTCTCTTAATTTTATCATGTAATTTGCTTTTGTAATACGATGATCTCTTAACTTGCTTTTGCAGATCTTCTTTGGTTCCTATGCTAGTTCTGTGTGTCTCCCATCTCCAAATAATTTAGTCATACACATGGAAATCTGAAAGGGTTTTGGTCTTTGGATGGGTTTAAAATGTTAGTTGGTGATTGGTTGTATTACTGTCAAATAATTGTTGGATAGTTTGGAATGGAGAAGCTGGTTGTTTTAGAGCAATTGAATACACAAGGAACTTTGAAAGAGTTTTGATCTTTGGATTGGTTTAAACTACTTTCTTGACAACCAAGAGTACTGTGGGGAACTTTTGGTGTTCCATTGAACAATTTTTTTCATATTTTATCAATGTAAATGACACAATATTTCTTTAACATTTTTTGTATGTAAATAGCCCAACGTTTCGAAATCTTTTGTATATAAGTACTGCTGTCGATGTTAAAACCAGGGTATCCCATTGTTTTCGTGAAAATTGTTTGTTATTTGGTGGTGTGATTGGAGGGATCTGCAATTCACCTATGTGTTTTGCGTTGTATATTTCATTTGAAGGTGTTCAATTTATGCAATTCTTATGTAGCTATCGAATAGGTGCCATCTGCATCTTTTGTTTGAATTCCCCCCCCCCTCTTTTTTTTTTACATCGTTTGCTTTAAATTTTTCCCTTTTTTTGGCCCTCATGTTAGCCGTTTTGGTTATGTGTTTGGGTTGTTATTTTATGTTTGTAGCTTCTGGAGCATTTTTTTTAGGGAACTTTAACGAAAAGCTCCTGGTACTGTTCACTTTAACAAAAAACCACATTTTTACACTAAAAAGTCAATCCTGGTACTATTCACTTTACTCTTTATTTTGTCCTTATCATTAAAACTCAAAGTTTTCAAGCCCTTTTAATTAGTTTTCATTTTTTTAATCAATTTTGGGTTCATACCTTCTGTTTTGTAATTGTGGTAGATACTGGTGGTTGCTAAACTCTTTGTCTCTTTCTTTCACAACATGGATAAGTAAATTGCACATCGTTTATAACTTTTATTATTTTTTCTTTCTATGGTTTTATGAGAATTTCTGATGTGTCGTTACAATTTCTTCTTCGTAGGATAAATGGAGAACATCCGTCCAACTCATGTTGATCAGTTAAGACCATACATGAAAGCGGACAAAATCAAAGTTCGGATATGTAGAATTTGGAAATCGACGATTCCAGGAACTGTTCAGAAGTACACTGCCCTGCATTGTATATTGGTTGACGAAGCAGTGAGAAATAATTGTTTGATTAGTTTAATCAAAAGTAGAAACAATGACAATTAACTCAGCAAATAATGATTGTGTTGGGATAGTTTTTTACATGTCACATGATTAAAATGAGTTGTCTTATGGTTAGCGAAATGTGTGCGTTGACCATCTGTTTTCTTTCTTTGTTTTTTTGTTTTCTCAGTTTTTTTGGCTTCTTCGCTTATGTTTAACGATGATGTTTTCTGTCTCAAATTTTTGTGGAGCCTTGGATTTTTCTTTCCATCTTGCTTGAAATAATTTAACTGTTCTGATTCATTGTGTTTCATTATGGTAACAATTTGATTGATACAATGTGAAGCAACATGCGGTGGAGGGCTGTACATCAGATGTTGATTTTGAGGTTATGGCTTTCAAAATTGAAGCCGGTGGATGCTATGAAATAACTGATTTTCGGACTATAAGAATTAGGGGACAATACAGGGTAGTGCTGCATGAAACCCATGTTTTGTTCAGCTCGAAAACAGTATTATGAAAATTAGCAATTGTATTCCCGCCTATCCCTCGCCATTGATTTTTTTCTGCAGGATTATAACACACTTTACCCTTGATTGAACATGGTTGACATTCTCACAGGTACTGTTAATATATATAGGTGCATGTGCATGGGTTAAAGTGTGTTTATATTTGTTTTCCAAAATGGTCTTTTAACGACCTGCCTCTGTTTATTTTTTAAATAATAAGATGTCATTGGTCGTATAAGCTCTATACAACCTCTCAAATCTAAACAGATTAATCAGAGGATTGCATACAAGTGTGGAGTCTGTATCGAAAATATAAGGTTATTTTTTGTTTTGTATGGATGTTGTTTGCAGTTGTTTTCAATATTTGTTAATTTGCTGCTATAAAAAAAGTGATGATTTTATTTGTTGTTCCCTTTGTCAACAGGAAAGAAGCACTGATGGTTACGTTGTGGGCAGATGTTGGAGAAGACTTCTCTTATTTGTCAACGAATGCGTTTTCTTTGCCGGTTGTTGTTATTTTCACAAGTCTGAAAGTGAAGCTCTACTTGGGTATTTTGTTTTCTTAAAAACTTATTTTTCGCTGTTTATTTTGGTCTGTGCAAATGTTGTTTCGTTTAAATTCTTTGAATGTTATATCATTTTGCAATTTTATTATCTGTCTTTGGTTTGATTTGTCATTATATGTTTTCGTTCTTCTTTGTCAATTAATTTACAAGTATCTTAATATTTCAGTCATTACTGACTGGTAATCGCTTTCTTACTTTATTTTCTTTTTTATTCAACCATGTCTGTTAAGTAGATATGAGCATTGGTTTTTCATTAACAGTTAGAAAACAATGAATATTGTGTTAGGAATGAGTTAGTTGGTTTGAAATGCACCACTTCATAAAGTTCATTGTGCCACCATTTTGTGAAAACTTTTTAAACAGTTGAGTATTTGCGTATTATCGATTATCTCTATTGTGTAGTTTTTGTCACAAAATGTAATCAGCTACCTTTATTAATTTTCTCTTTCTTTTCTACACTATCATTTCAATGTGTAGATAAGATCGTTTTGAATAGAACTGGTTCATCCCTTTTTTTTACTGATCCAGACATCCCCGAAGTGAATGCATATAAGTCAGTGTGAGTGTATTTCTCATTGTTAAAACAAAAAAACGCTCTGTTAGTTATTTGTAAAGAATGGTTTGTTTGTTTGTTTGTTTTTTTTTAAATTGTTAAACTCATAAAATGTTTTGATGTTGCAGGTTTTCTAATTGCAAAAAACCTTTTAAAGTGCTCCCCCCTCTTCAAAACAAGCAAATGAAGCTGCAATTTTGCAAACTGCTAGAAGGGTTCCAATTTGGCGTTTTTGGATTCGGAGTTGCACAAGGTATCAAAATTTCACGATTCAAGTTTAACATTTTCAACAGAACTAATTATGTTGTTATGACTGTTACAAATGTGTTAAAAAAACATATTACAGGACATCACTTTTCTGTGCAAAACATCTATTAAGCGTTTTGACACGCGCTTTGATTGGTGGTACAGTGCTTGCCCAAACTGTGTAAAATAGATGCACAAGGACCTAACCACTGGTCAACTCATTTGCCAAAAGAATCCTAACCAGATTCCAACGCCTTGGTAATGTTACATTAAGTATTTAAACCGAAGCTAACAAAAAATTTGCTCTTTCTTGCTGTTGTGTAGTTTGTTGTCGTTAACCAATTAGAACAAATAAATGCAGAAAAGATTATTAACATCCAGTACGGAATATACAAATTCAGTTTGATGCTTTATATAATCACACTTTAAAAAATTTATAATTCTGGATTGTCAACCTTTTGAACAATGGATGTACATAATGGTTCATAAACATGTTGTTTGAAAAATTATTTTTTTATCATTGTCTTCTCCCTGATCTGTGTTTTTATCCCATTTAAGTCATATAAACTTAAATCTTATAGTTTTTTTCCTTACTGTGTGGCAAAGCCTTTTTTCCCCCCTGTTTGTTTCCTTTTTCTTTTTCTTTTTTCTTATATTTGGTTACATATGATTGTTATATTATTACATGTGTGTAATCTATTTTCATTCTACTTTTTTGACGTATTGAGTTTTTGGTAATCTGTGATTCTCAAAAATCTCATGAGGTTGAGTTTTTAAATGTAGGTACAAAGTCAATCTCATTCTCGAAGATGAAACAAATGAAATGAATGCTTTAATAATTGGTAAATGTGGTGAGAAACTTTTTGGCATGCCCTGCAAAGACCTGGTAGTGAATCAGCGACTGGTGGAGCAGTGACAACTACCAAACGAGTTTCTCAGGCCTATTGGACAAAAGAAGATTTTTCATCTGCGATTTGGCAACATGAGGAATACTTTTAATTCAAACGATGTGCTCATTCACAATGTGATTGAGGATATGACTATGCAACCGATAACTCCGCAGCCTTTGACAAGAGAAATCACAGTGTCCTTCACCGTTGTTTCATCTTTTACTTCAATGGCTGAAACCACCGAGCAATCATATAAACGGAAGAGGGAATCGATTATGAGAGCTCTTTTCACTGCCGGTGAACAAAGGTTTATGCCGTAACTGCTTTTACAACTATCAATTTCAAACTTCCATATATTCATACTATTTAACGTAGAAAACCTGTTTAAAATAGTGGAGTCGAGGAAATTTCATACACAGATCCAAGAGAATTGGATGAAGTACCAATCAAATTGCTAAAAAATGCTGATGCTTTTTTGTTAATGTGTATGAAACAATATTTGTCCTATTTCTTTACCATGTAAATATCTCTCTAATCTGAACTTCATAATATTTTTTGCCTGTACATAGACCAACACTAAACAATTTTTTGTATCCGAATGCTGCTTGCGCTTGAAGGGTGATTCCAAGTGCTAAAATCCAACACATGTCTGTATGTAAATAAACAACTTTTAGCCTTTTGTATCTGCATTCTACAACTTAAACATTTTGTTTATAACCCTTTTGTGAGCTCTCTATTTTCGATGTTGTTATTATTTTATCATGCCACTTCTACATCTTCTCAGCATGGTGTTAAGTATAGTTTACCAGCTACGGTCGTTTTGAATTGGTGTTTAACCAGGCTGCGGTCGTTCTGATTTACAGATAAATTTT